CAGGAGCCCCTTGCCCACCTTCCACTCCTCTTTTTTCCTCACAGGGCAAATGCCTGAGGCTCTGCTGCATCCCCATTGAGGCGCCACTGCTGTGCTCCCAAAATGGCTGACCAGACTCCCTCCGGTGGTTGTTCCCTCCCCTCCCCAGAATAAAGGCATGGCTTTCCCTGCATACTCTGAGTGTGGTGGTTCTTGACGGGGAGATCAACAACCCCGGGCTAGACTGGATTGTGCCGTAAACGAAGAGCAACCCAGGACGTTCAGTGCTCTCGCCTGGAGCCAGACCGTGATGGTTGCAGGTTTCTATTTGCCCTGCAAACATGGCAAAATAAGCAGCTATGGCTCCCGCAAGGCAGCTTCCCTCCTGCTCAATCCTTCCTCTTTCTGGGTTCTCATTGGGGACCTCTGGAGCTGGGTTTGACCCAGGGATGCAGGCTTCTCCATGCCGCCGAATTGCAGTAAAGTGGAAGAAACCAGCAAGGAAGAATTCCAGCAATTGTTACGCCCCAGATGCAAGCCCCCTTTGTAATAGAATCCTATTCCTGCACCTCTTTCTCCCGCCTGCCCATTGTCAGCGCTTAGGGGCCAGTTTCTTCCAAGGGAACCACCGTTTCCACCTTTCTCTTCTTTTCATGATGGATGGATCTGGCATCAGCCTGTTTGCTGCTGCGTTTGGTCAGTTGACGGGCTGCTGGCAAGAGGGGCCCCTTCCGGCAGGGGTGAGGAGGAGGAGGAGGGAAAAGGAATAACGGCATAATGGAAGGGACCTTGGAGGTCTTCTAGCCCAACCCCCTGCTCAAACAGGAGACTCTACACTGTTCTGGACCAACAGCTGTCCGGCCTCTTCTTCAAAGCCTCTAGTGATGGAGCACCCACAGCCGTTGGGGACAAGCAGTTCCACTGGTCAGTTGGAGGGGAGGGAGGAGGAGGAGGGAAGAGGACTTGGCTTGATAGCAGCGTCCCAATATTGGAGGGGATGCCCCAAAGAAGAGGGGGGCCCACCCACTCTCCAAGGCCCCTGAGGGCGGCAGGACAAAAAGCGACGGACGGACACCCATCCAGGAGAGAAGCAGCCTGGGACTAAGGGGAGACCTCCTGACAGGGAGGATCAGAATTTGCCCCCAGACATTGTAGGGGCTCCGTCACTGGAGGCTTCCAAGGGGAGGCTGGACAGCCGGTTGTCCAAAATGGTCTAGCGTTTCTTGCCTGAGCACGGGGTTGGGCTAGAAGACCTCTGAGGTGCCTTGCAACTCTGTGCTTCTGCTGTTCTGTTATTCTGAGGAGGGGGAAATGGGCAGCCAACATCTCTGGCAGACCCTCCCTCAGCCTCCCTTCTTCCACCAGTTCACTCGAGGGCAGCGTTCCCCCCCCTGCTGGTTTGCCTCCTTGGGAGGCAGGGAGACGATGGGGAAAACCCTTTGGCAGAGGAAGGGCGGGTCAGGAGGCAGAGTCTGGACTGCCCTTCCCCTTCTTCCACCAGGGGTTGGGGGTGCCCTGGACCGATCCGGAGAAATCCCAAACCCCTCACCCCTCTGAACGTGGTCAGAGCGTCCTTGGGTCACGAGGAGGGACCCGGGAGGTCTTCTAGCCCAACCCCAGCCCAGGGCAGAGGTCCTCGGAGCATCGGCCACCAACCTCCAGAGACGGAGGCAGGGAGGCTGAGAGCATCGAGGTTTCATCCAGGGGAAACGCAGCGAGGCGGCTGCCCCCGAGACGGACAGTCCGGACGGAGGATGGTTACGAGGTCAGGAAACGAAACTCTGAGTGAGGGCGAAAGATCTTTTATTGGGGTGGGGTCACCTCCATCAGAGGGGGGGCAAGAAGATGAGCAGGCAGCCGGAAGACCAAAGGCCCCTCAGATCACGGGTGGCAAACTCAATTCCATTGAGGGCCGCATCAGGGCTGGGATTGGCCTCAGGGGGCTGGGTGGGTGTGGCTGACTGGTGGGTGTGGCTGACTGGGTGGGTGTGGCCAGCTTGACGCCACTCCCCAAACTACTGGCACGTTTCCTCTTCACATTGGGTAGACCGGGCTGTATCTACGCTGACCTGATCTTCGCACTGGGTAGACCAGGATGGCCCCCCAGGCCAGATCTGACCACATCATGGGCCTTGAGTTTGGGACCCCTGGAGGTGGGGGTGAGAAGGAGGAGGAGAAGGAGGGAATGAGAGAGCAAGGGAGGCGGAGTGAGGAGTGAGTGAGGAGGAGGAGCAGCAAAGAGGGAGTGAGAGGAAGAGGAGTGAGAGAATAAGGGAGAGTGGAGGAGGAATAAGAAGGGAGGAAGAGGAGGAGAAGGAGGGAGTGAGGAGGGAGGACTAGGAGGAGCAGGGAGGAAGGAGGAGGAAGAAAGGAGGAAGAGGAGGAAAAGAAGGGAGGGAGGGAAGAGGAGAAGAAGGGAGGGAGGGAAGAGGAGAAGAAGGGAGGGAGGGAGGAGGAACAGGGAGGGAGGGAGGAAGAAGAGGAGGAGGGAGGGATTGAGGAAGGAGAGAGGGAGTAGCGAGGAAGAGGAGCCAGGAGGGAAGGAGGAGGAGCAAGGAGGGAGGGAGAGGGGAGGAGGGTGGAGAGAGGGAGGGAGGAGGAAGAGGAACAAGGAGGGGAAGAGGAGGAGCAGGGAGGGAGGGAGGAGGAGGAAGGGGAGGGAGGTTTTCAGCATAGCTAGGTCTTCACTTTGGGATGGATCCAAGAACGGCCATCCCCAGAGCCGGACCTTCTTCCTGGGGGCGGATCAGCGCTCCTGTTGAAGGAAAGGAGAGACACTCAGCTTGGGAAGCAGCCAAGAGACCCCTCCCCAGAGGGTGGCAGAGTCTGGTTTCCCCCCTCCCAGCTCACAGGCCCTGAGCTTGTCCGAGTGGCAGGAGGCCCCGTCCATCAAGGAAGGAGGGGGTGGGAACATCCGCCTCACCTCAGGGATTCTTCCATAAGGGGTTTCACAATCCCCTCCCCCCACCCCAGGCTCCTGCTCTTGTGGTCGAGGGGACCCCCGGCCAACCCCTGCCCCCACCTGGCCACAATTAGGACAGGCCTTCAAGGCGCAGAGGGTCCTTCCTGGGAAGGTTTCCTGGAAAAAGTGGGGTGCTCAGGTACCATCTGACAGCAATGGGGGCAGGGGGCACCAAAGAGCATTACTTCCACATTCTCGGTCTCCATCTCCTCTCCCCCTCCCCCCATTCCAGAAATGGGAGTCGTACCTCCTCAACTCCTCTTCGGCAGGCAAAGCCACAGCCAGTGGGGCAGCAGAGGTAGCCTTTCGCACAGCTGGCATCTGAGTAGCATTGCATAATACAGGCGCCAATTTTAGGGGGCTTTGGACAGCGCCTTCCTGATCCTGCAAGAAAGGCGGCTGCTGAGCAACAGAGTGGGAAGGAACCTTAGCACTTATATACCGCTTTACAGCACTTTCCACCATCCCTAAGCGGTCCACAGAGTCAGCCTGTTGCCCCCAACAATTTTGCATCCTCTTTTGACCCCCCTCGGAAGGACGGAAAGCTGAGTCAACCTGGAGCAGGTGGGATTCGATCGGCCAAATTGCAGGCAGCCGTCAGTCAGCAGAAGTAGCCTGCAGTACTGCACTCTAACCACTGCGCCACTAAGGCTCATATTGGAGGTCTTGTAATCCAGGGGCCTCTAACCGTGGCAACTTTAAGACTTTAAGCTGGCTGAGGAACTCTGGGAGTTGAAGTCCACAAGTGCTAAAGTTGCCAAGGTTGGAGACCCCTGTTCTGCTCCAACCTCTGCTCAAGCAAGAGACCCTATACCATGGGCTGCATTTGGCCCACAGTTTGGAAGGATCCAGCTGCAGGGCTGTCCTGTCCACCCAATGCAAAGAGGGAAGATTGGCCCTGTCTACCCATTGCGAAGAAGCAAGATCAGCCCAGCAGAGCTACGGCCCAGTCTACTCAACGTGAATAGGAAACATGCCAGCCAGCACTTTGGGGAGTGGCATCAAGCTGGCCACGCCCACCTAGTCGGCCACACCTACCTGGCCCCCTAAGGTCAACCCTGGCCCTGATGAAATTGAGTTTGACAGCCCCTCCCTACCCCATTTCAGACCGAGGGCAGCCCAGCCTCTTTTCGGAAGCCTCCAGGGATGGAGCTCCCACAACTAACAAAGGCAACTTCTGTTCCAGGGGCGGATTGTTCACTGTCAATTTCATTGAGGGCCGCATCAGGGCTGGGGTTGACCTCGGGGGGCTTTCTCGCTTAGCAACAGGAATTGGGCCACAATTGTGGTTGTAAATCCCACACTACTTTTAAAGACAGAAAACTCCGGGAGGTGGTGTTGTGGTTCGTTGGCCACCGGTGCAGACGGCTGAGTCTCAGAGAGCGAGGACTCGGATGAGGGGCCTGCGTGTGATGCAGGGATGGGGCCAGGACCATCAGGGAGTGGAGTGCTGCCTTCAGAGATTGTGGAGGCTGGCAGCAGTGAGGAAGAGGCCCCCAAGGAGCCTGTGCCCAGTGAGCATGCGCACAGGGCTGCTCGAAGGAAAGAGCAGCTGCAGCAGCACGGGCGACTCAGGAGTAAGGCTGCAAGGTGATGGCCCCTCCCCTAAGAGATGAAAGCTAGCTGAGAAACCAAAGTTGTTTGCAGGAAGCAAAGAAGTTTTTGTACTCAAGCCTTGTGGACGTTTAGACTCTCTTAGTTTGTGTTTGGAGACTCTTTGTGTTTGAAGTATTTCTTAGTAACTTTATCTAGTGTCCTTGGCAGCCATGCACAACCTTGGCAAGGCTCCTTCTTATCAGAGACCATGAGTTTGAAGCAGCCTTTTAACTGTGAAGGAATTTGTCAAGAATCATTAAAAGGTTTTGCTGTTACCTCCATTTCATGTTTGTTTCCTTGGAACAAGGTTTGGGTCAGAGATTCTGCGTACGGAGGAGCCCTCTTCCCTCTACTGGGCACAGTTGGCTTTTTCTCTGGGTCTGCTTCCCTTTCTGGCTTCTGCTGGGGACCAAAGCCCCTTGGGGGTCCCACCCGCCTTACCTCGTGGGGCACAGAACTGGGTGCAGGTGTCCTCATCCCAAAAGTTGTTGGCGTTTCCTCTGCTGCTTTTGTACAGGAAACTCTCGCACGCCTTGGAGACGGTGTTGTAGAAGAAGCGGGACTGAAAGGCATCGCCAAACCCAGAATCACTCGGCAGTTGGCAGATATCTGGAGGGAGGCAGAAGCTTCTGAGCATTGATCTTTTAAGGGGTTTCCCCCCCTCACCTCAATATCTCTTCTCGAAATGTTGCTGGCCAAAAACCAGCTGTTAATTCAGCAAATGGTGGTAAAGTGAGATTAGTATCTCAAGAACTCAAGATCTGCAGCTTGCATCAATATCTTAGAATTGGCACGGGGGTCAACGTAAGTACAACATTAGGAGTGGCATAGTGCCCTAGAACAGTGGTGGCTAACATTTTGGGGCTCCTGTGCCAAAAATTGTGCATGTGCTTGAGTGTTCTTGTGCCAGCACCCAGAAGGCAATGCACGCCCCCCTCCGCCTGCGCATGTGCACACAATCCCCCCACTGCCCCCTTACCTGCACTGTGCCACCCAGCTGATTTTTGGCCCGTTTGAGCCTTTTTCGGCCTCCCAGAGGCTCAAAGAAAGCTTCTGCAGCCTTTGCAGGCCGAAAAATAGGCCCACTTCATCACTTCCGGTATACAGGAAGTGGCGAAACAGGCCTATTTTTCAGCCTGCAGAGGCTGCAGAAGCTTTCTTTGAGCCTCTGGGAGGCTGAAAATCAGCTGGGTGGCGCACACATGCGCAGTGAGGTCAGTTTGCCTGCAACTCACATGCTGGCACAAATGCCATAGGTTCGCCATCACGGCCCTAGAGGTGGAGCTCTTGCCTCACCATCAGGAGGCTGTGAGTTCGATCCTAGGTAGAGGCAGATATTTGTCTTCCTGGGCACACTGAGAATATATCTGCTGAAGAAAACTCCGCTTTGGTGACAGGAAGGGCATCGGGCCATTAAACAATCTGTTAGCTCCATTCCGTTGCCCAGACTCCACCCGTCTAGGAATTATGGGTCATTAAAAGAAGAAGAACACAAGTACTATATTAGTACAAACCCCCCCTACACCTTTTACAACCCTTAACTTCATTAACTTGACCCAGCAGTAAAGATGCTGGGCTTGTCAACCTTACGATGTATGATCTATGAGTTTTCCCTTTGTTGTTCACATGGACACTGTGAGCTTCTGCACCAGAGACAAATTCCTTGTTTGTCTAATCACATTTAGACAATAATTCTGTTTTATTCTACAAAAGCACCCCATTTTTGTGCCTTCTGGGCCTCAGGGAAGCCTCGTGGGGGGCATTTTTCCTCCCAGGAAGCTTCCCTGGGGCCCAGGGAGACAAAAACTGGAGCAGGGTCACAGTTCTCCCCACCCCTGCCCACTCCCCTGCCCCCCATTGGCCTCCTGAGCCTCAGGGGAGCCTCCTGGGTGAAGCAGTAAGAGAACGAGGGGGGGTCCTGGTGCAGCTGATCATTGGAACAGCTGATGGTTGGGAGGGAAATAAAGGAAATGCCTTAAGGAGCGACTGGGTGGGGGAGAATGCAGTCAGCGATGTCAGGCATGCGTGTCATAAGGACTGACTGGGCAGGGAGGGGAGGGGAGGGCGGAGAGGGGCGGGGCCAGCCGGGGGCGCGATTTGCTGGTTCACCGAACTGTGCAGAATCTTAACAACCGGTTCCATAGAACCGGTCCAAACCAGAAGAATCCCAGCCCTGATTCTATTCTATTCTAGTCCACCCCAATCCACTCCATTCCTCTCGTCTATTCTAATTTTCTATTCTATTCTGTTCTGTTCTGTTCTGTTCTGTTCCTGTTCCTGTTCTTGTTCTGTTCTGTTTCATATTTTCTATTCTATTCTATTCTGTTCCGTTCTGTTCCATTTTTATTTTATTCTAATTTTGTTCGGTTCTCTGAACAGAGAGAGCTTTGACATGCAGAAGAGTGTGAAAATTGACCCAAGAGCCCCAATCCCCTCCTGGCTCAGCCTTCTCCCCACCCACCCACCCCCCTTGCTCACCACGGCTGGCACAGGCCTGCAGGCATTCTAGCTGTGTTGCAAAGTTGTTTCTGTCGCCTTCGCAGCCTTGATGGACAAACTTTTCACACACGCCCGCCTGGGAGTTGTAGAAGACCCGGATGGAGGACTCGTTGCTGCATTTACGATGGCCTGGAGGCACCTGGCAGAAACCTGGAGGCCCCAGAGGGGTTGGGGGAAGGGGGTCAGTTTTGGAAGAATTGGGGGAAAGAGAATAGAAGGAGGAAGGTGGGTTAGACACGTTCACCAGCTTTGAGTTGTGCGTAAAAAAATAAAATAAAGGCAGGATATAAATCATGAAATGAATTTATAAATATTTATAAATAACTATTTTTATATACATGTGCTCTGATTACTGTCACCTCCTCCACCTGGAGGCATTGGGTAGGCCTTGTGTGCCTGCTCCCGGGAGAGACACTTAGCAGGAGAAGAGGGGTGTGTGTGTGTGAATGCTGCAAAGCCTCCTTCACCAACTCCTGGAGCAGGGGAAGGCCAGCAACTCAACCAATCAGTATAGAGTTGGAAGGGACCTTGGAGGTCTTCTAGTCCAACCCCCTGCTGAAGTAGGAGGCTCTGTGTAGAATTTCAGGCAAGTGGCTGTCCAGCCTCTTCTTAAAAGCCTGCAGTGATGAAGCCCCTCCAACCTCTGTTCGACTGGGTTAATTGTCCTCCCTCCTTGGTTACTTTCCACCCATTGTTTCTTGCCTTGCCTTCTGATGCCTTTGAAAATAAGTTGACCCCCCCCCCACTTTTCTTTGTGTGAGTGGAAGACTGTTATCATGTCACTCCTAGTCCTTGTTTTCTCTGGACTGGCCATACGCAATTCCTGCAACCGTTCTTCATATGTTTTTGCCTCCAGGCCTTTAAACATTTTAGTTGCTCTTCTCTGCTCGTCTCAACTTTGGGAAGGGGGTCATCCTGAGGATCCCCACATCTGGATCCTGGGCTTTGATCCCTGGCACTGGGCCACAAGGGAACAAGCCAACACTGGAGGAGGAGGGGTCCTCCAGCCTTGCCTGTCTCACTGAGAAAAGGTTTCGGTCCAAGGAGAAGTCGCCTTCACAGCTGACGTTAGAGGAATGGAAGGACAGAACAAAAAGAAAAGATATCCAGTATTTTTGTGTTGGCTTAGAAAATGCAATAAATCATTGCAAGTTATTCACAAATGGCAGAAACTTTAAAAAAGTAAATGAATCTCTCGGTGAGATGTTTACTAAAGGTGGGAAAATGGGTGGATAAATTCCCAGTAGGTCACACCACCACATTCTTTGGGTTCCCTCATGAACAAGGACATGTATCCCCAGAAGCCACCCCAAGAATGTGGGGTGCCTGGAAAAAGTCCTAATCCATGCCACAAGAAGCGGGTCCTTCTTTTTTTAAAAAAAAAAAATTGCAAAATATTTTATTAGCAGCAAGAAGGTGTCCCACCATCTAAATAACACCAAAGTCCCAAGGATTCTCTTACAAAAAACAATGCCTATTTATGTAACACACTAAGCCCAAACCAAGTAAAACACATTTCGGCTTAGCAGAAGGCATGAACTTAAGCAATAGGTGGGATGACTTAGTGAGATCCCCACAAGCCTAGCTAAGCCAGCAGTTGTCCCAGTCAAGGGAAAGGAAATACAAAAATCCTTCACTTTATGAATTCAACTCCATATTTGCTGAAATATGCAACCCTGCCTGGACAATGGGAAGAATCGCTTTTCATCGTGGTTCCTAGAGGTGACGTGAAGATTCCCATCGCCAGCAATTCTGACCCAAAATACTGAGTGATGAGAATTGATATGCTGACTCCACTCACTGATATATAACTTTGAAACCAAGGCAGACTCCCTTCCCAAAAAGTGGGGCAAAAGACGTGAAGGTCATCCGGAAAGCTGCTTTGCTAAGCTGGTTTCCTCTCAGCTGGTAAGGAAATAATGTAAGTTCAAACTGTCCTGTCCTTAGTATGCCCTGAACATGCACGCAGAGCAGGTCTGTGCTATGTGATTGAAGCGGGTCCCTCTTCAAGGTCATGGATGCGGATTTCCCCTTCCCCAAAGGCATAAGAGCAAACTCCAACCAGCCAGGAGGGTGGCAGAGGACACCTGGGGTAGGGTCTGCAAGGTGTGCCAGCTGGAAAAGAGGTTTGGGAAGGAGAGGGTCTCACTCTGCAGGAGGCCAAGAGCCGAGCTGACCGCTTGATTCCTGCCTTGAGAGGGGGAGGATGCCCCTGCAGGAAAGGAAGGGCGCCGGAGCCTGAAACCCACCCCAGGGGAGCATCACCAGGGGAGACAGGAGATCAGCCATCCGATATTTGAGGGGCTGCCCCAGAAAGAAAGGGGTCAAGCTATTTTCTAAAGCACCTTTGAAGGCCAGACAAGGAATAATGGATGGAAACTGATCCAGGAGAGATTCAACCTGGAAATAAGGAGGAACTTTCTGACAGGGAGAACCATCTACCGATGGAACGGAAGTTGTGGGAGCTTCATCCCTGGAAGCTTTCAAGAAGAAACTGGACTTCCATCTGTCAGAAAGGGTATAGTAGGATCTCCTACTTGGGCAGAAGGTTGGACCAGATGACCTATGTGGTCCCTTCCAACTCTGTTAATCTGTAATCCCAGAAGAGAAAATAGTCCCAGCCCAGCCAAACCAGCTTCTCAGGTCCATCTCCCACCAGGGGTCTCCTGTGGCTCCACTCACTGTTCAGAGGTCTCTGGCTCTCTTCATCACCATCTCCACTACTGGCAGCCTGGAGGTCAGCCGAGAAGGAGAGGAGCACCCCAACGAGAAGAAGCCTGGGCCACATGGTCTCTCAGGAGGAAGGAGGTCTCTTGGCTGAAGCAGTAGGAGTATATAAAGCCGGAGAAAGGGGCCGGGGGCAGTTTAACTGCAGGTTGGTGGGACTTTCCCAATGCAGTTCTTCCTCTGGACCAGAAAGTCAACCTCAGAAGGAGGAAGGGCACAGTTGTGGTTTCCAGGAATGCAACAACCTTGTGTAATGATTGAACTCCACCCAGTGTGCATATTGCAATGGTCAGGCTAGAAGGATGGGGTGAGGTTGGGGTTGGGCTGAATCCCCTGGATTGGCAACATCCAACACAGACCAGCCTGGCTCAAGAGCCCTGAGCTGTAGGGGATGGACCGAGTCCCTTTTCCAGAGGAGACCAGGAAGGGAGTGGTGGTCATAGTGGAACATCTAGGTCAGAGGTCTCCAAACTTGGCAACTTTAAGACTTATGTCAACTAAAAAGATGCCCCTCTGGTCTTTTTAGCTGCCAGCAAAAGGAAGTGGGGGGAAACAAGGCATTCTTGAAAGGCCTAGAGATCAACTCAGCAAAGCTGTCGGAGCATAAGAAGGTTATTGGAGAACATGATGGAGGACTCTTGGAGACTGACGTGTCCTACTGGAGAAGTCGCATCCAGGCGGTGGGGGAAAGACCAGGGTCAAGGGGGAAATGTGCGATGTGATTTAGTACCGGCTGCACCCAGCCACGCGCCAACATGGCAGTTTCTAATAAACCAATTTACTTTTTCTGAGATGCGGCTAGAGACTTTTGATTTGAATGAGGGGGATTTGTTGGAGCCCTGAGAGCCAGCTGGAACTATAAACATTCAACGTTCTGGCATACCTGATCCCCAGCCTCCTCAATTGCTCCCGACATCTGGGGTTCTTGGAGAGGAAGTCAGGTTAAAGAAAGCCTTTTAGAAGCAGCCCAGCTACAAACAGAAGCAGAAAACGTAATCACAGGCGAAGCTGAGAGGTCTGAGCAGATAAAGGAAAGAAATCTCCCCCAGGTTAAAAAGGGAGGAAGGGCCCTGAGTGAGCTGACAAGAGTAGGGGAACAAGCCAGAGTCCCAAAACTCCTGTCTTGGGAGGGGGAAATTTGTTGGGGACCCAGACCAGCTAGCTCTATTCCTTGACTCAGCTGAGATCCACCTAGAGCATTATGGACACCTCTACCCCTCCCCTAGAGCCATGGGGAAGGCCATTTCTGAGGGGCTGGAGGGAGAAGCAAGAGGATGGCTAGCACAAGAGAAGGGCCCCCCAACTGCATGACGCAGACGACTTCCTATGACTGCTAGATGTGCCAGATTTGCTAGAGGCAAAGCTGGCTGAGGAATTCTGGGAGTTGAAGCCCACAAGTTTAAAGTTGCCAAGTTTGGGGACCCCTGACCTATATTCTCCAAGTTCAAACGTGAAGGGGGTGGGAGCTTCTCCTTTGGGGTGGGGCAGGAGGAGAACCTCTCTTTTGCTCCAAGAAGGCGCATGGACCTCAAAAAGAGGAAGATTAAGCAAAAGGTAGGTAAATTCTCACGGGGAGGGGGAAGACTGGGGGCTTCTTGTTCTGGTCAAAGAGACAAGGTGGAGGCCACCAAGCCCCTTCAGCCAAGCAGGAGGTGAAGGGATCATTTCTTCTTCATCTTTCCATCCAAGGTGGAAACACCCCCCCCACTTGGTCTCTGCAGGGTCTCATCACCAGGAGGGCACAAGATTCCCAGCCATAACCTTGTGCTGGCTGGGAATTCTGGGTATTAGGACTGGAGGAACCCAGTATCATCGTTCATGGTACCTTCCACATGGTCAATGGGAGATATCCTGCTAAAGCAGGGGTTCCACCCCCTGGGGGGCAGTGGGATGCCTTAGGGCAGGGGTCCCCAACCACCGGTCCGTGGACCGGTACCGGTCCGCAGAACAACTCCTACCGGGCCGCTGGCTTGCTGGGCGCCGCCATCTTTTTTTGATGAAAAAGTGCTTCCGGTGAGCTTTCTACCCGGAAAAGCTCACCGGAAGCACTTTTTCATCAAAAAAAGATGGCGGCGCCCAGCTGATGCCGGTACCGGGCCGCGGCGCCCAGCTGATGCCGGTACCGGGCCGCGGCGTCAAAAAGGTTGGGGATCACTGCCTTAGGGGGCGCTAAGAGGCAAGGGGGGGCACTGGAGGTGGGCCCCACGCAGGACACAATTCAAGGGTGGGATTCTATCGATTCATTACTGTTCCCGGTAGTTTGGAGAACCAGTAAAACGGGCCCCTTGCTGGCCCTGCTCCTCTCCGCCCGCTCCTCCATTCCCTGCCTAGTCAGTCCTTATTGGGCATGCGCGACATCGTGTGCATGCGCAACAATCGCTGACAGCCACAGCGGTGCATTGGAGAAGCAGAGCAACCAAAGC